TGCTGCCTTGCTGCAGGCCTTTGCCACCTTGTGCTGGATGTGCATCAGCAGATTCTGGGGATAACAAAAGTGAAAACAGGGATGGGAGTAGGGGTCGAAGGCTAATAAGAAGTGCTCCAAGGAGGCACACCAAGTAGAGCACACTGGTCAGTGCCCAGTGGCTCTTGAACAAGTCCAAGGAGCCTGTGGACACCACCCAGTGAAACTCTGCCCAAAGACATGAACGGATGAGTGATAGGAAGATGGCACCACAATCACTGGGATCCTCCAGCCTGGACCCTCCTTGGTCAGATAGATGGCCATCTTAGGTAGGGCCAGGAGGAGGAGGTTGACCAGGAGGACCTGGGGGTTGGTCGAGTCATGGATAGGGAGTACACAAACAAAACTGTGTGGGGAGTAGTGCAGCCAGAACCTCAGCAAGAGGTTCTTGAGAATGTGGTGAAGGGGTGATAGATGTGCACCAGGACCTCCCTTTGCTGCCAGAAGAGGCATGTGTTGGGGGTGTCCATTAAATGTGCCAGATACATGCCTGCTGCAGTGGCTCTGTGGAGCAGCTGCTAGCTGAGGTCCCCCCTGGCTCACGGGATCAGGGCAGAGTATAAAGTTGTCCACTGGGGATCCTTGCCCTCACACAGGGTGTCCCACCACTTTGTTTCTGGGCTGGATGTGAGGACAGGATGGTGGAAGGTGTGGACCACAAGTGCATAGAGCTGGAAGCAGTGGGCTGTACAAAAGCAGACCAGCTTTGTATCCCCAAGCCAGCTGAGGTGGTGTGGTGGGGAGTGCCATGGGGCCTGTTGAGGCAGGGGCTCCAGGACAAATTGTGTGAGACTGGGGAGTACCAAAGAAGTGGGAGATCAGGCAGCAGTGAGGGTTGGGGAATCAGGTGTGCAGGCAGCTGGCAAGGCCACAGGCAGGGAGGACAAGTGCTGGAGGGGATGGAGGACAGGCAGCAGGGGTGCAGATAGAGGTGGGGGGGCAAGGTGTGAGGGTTATCCTGCCTACCCCTCCCCTGTAGTTGTGGATGAATTTAAGATGACCTGCTAATAATTAGATTCTACATGTGGAAAATTAGAGGAAATGCATCATTTGCTGTGGCTAGGATCTCCCTATTGGGGGAGTTGTCTTAAATTCAGGGTCATCTTGGATTCCCACAAATACGGTATTTTGGGACCAATCATAGGTTTTTTTTTCTTTAAAGAAAACCTCAGCCCCTTGAATTGTGAACAGGACATTAGAAATGCACACAGCCTCAATGCACTAGTCAGGATGGAAGTTAATTACCACCTTCTTTCCCCCAAAAACAAAACTGTCCAACTTCTAAGTGGCCAAGGGCTGTACACATCTTGGGCCCCACAACCAGAGGCCATGGTCCTCAGAGGCTGCATGTCCTCCCTATGTCACTGCATGCTTGGGTACCCCACCCCTTGTACTCTGTGCTCCCCCCTGGGCCCTCCTTCTCCACCCTGCACTGTCTCACTGCTTGGTGAGCTCCACACTGCTGCACCATGTCCCTGGGAACCTGTCTGGCTACACTGCATGTGCCCCCCACCCCTGTTGCTGTGCCCTGCACCTCCCCAGTGCCCTGGGTGCCCCCCTGCTACACTCCATGCCTCCTGTTTCACCACATGCCACCATTATACTGCTGCTCCCCACACCTCCTGCACTGCACCATGTGTCTGGGCACTTCAACTCACCCTTAGCTCCACAGCTGCAAGCTCCTCTGCTGCATCCTGCCACTCAAGTACCCTGAGCTGCAGGCTCCCCTGGTATTGAAGTCTGTGGGGTGTTGCACTGCCCCAATCCCTGGGGCATGGAAAGAAAGGGGGAGCTAGAGGGAGGGGAGCCTGGAATACCTAGGTGCTACAGCAGCTGGAGCAATGAAGGGTGGAAGTGGGGAAGGTCGAAGCTAGGTGGGATCCTGGGGCCTGCAATTTAAGCCCTCGTGGGCCACAGGTAGGCCAAGGGCCACCAGTTTGACAGCCCTTCTCTAAAACTCATGTGTATTATGGTTCCTCACACCCTTTTGTGTCCCACAGTTTAACAACATGTCTGGGTGCCCAGGGTGGCCACCACACACAACGGGAGCAGTGACTTCCAGTTGCTGTTGCCACTGCAATCACAGTTGTGTGGCTCTGGAAAAAGCTTTTTTTCATGCCTACTCCCTTCACCCCTGTTGGCTCCCAGGATAGTTGCCCCTATCTCCCAGCCCTAGTTAAGCCATAGCACAAGAGCCACATCTGAAAGACATAGTTAAGGCCTGAATCCACTTTTGTTTTCTTTAGCAACCAGGATAACAGTAAAGCTCTGTGGCCAGGCTCAGAACTCAGACAAGTGTGTTTAGGTGCAGGACACGTACGCTAGTCAAGGGTAAGGAACTGGGAGCTATGGATCCGTCTGGCTTGATCGAATAATTGATCCACCACAGCCAATACCTGATTAAATCAAGAGCAATTATACAGGCAGCGTAATGGAGAGACGGTGTCTGGAGTTACTGATGTACATATGGTAAACTTTGACTGTGTAAAATAAAACACTGTTCCCATTGAGGACTGGATGTAGGCTATGCTTGCAGGCAACTTTGTGAATTCATTTATAC